CACATAAAAAGTAAATTGTAATATTTTTGTAGTAACATTTCTAATCTCTTTATTTTACAAAACAAATTAGGCAAAAGTATCATACTTAAATTACGAAAATTACACAATATAAATTAAATAAATGAAATTACGCTGTTATTCTCCAATCCAAAACTGTCGACTATGATTCCTTATAGCCCTGCCTCGATTTCTTTGGAATTAACTGAAGCAAAAATGTACTTCTAAAATTAAAGAAGAGATACTCATTTCATTCTGTCGCTTCTTTAAAGATTAATTTTCTAATTAACGAGCAATGCGAAAGTAATGAGAAATAATAGCAATATGTGCTTAATTGCGAAATATTTGGCTTGTTTACCGCGGTTAACAAGAAGCGGGAATTACAAACTAAATGCAATTTTGAACGAGCATCCCGAAAATTCTAGGAACGGGATTGGCCAACACGCCAGGATTCCAAATTAAAATCCAAGGGGTTTGCAACCAACATCATTCTGCGACAGCAGCAATATAGCACATAATTATAAAATGGTCGAATACCAAAAATTTTTTGCCATTATACTAATGTCTGAAATTCACATTATAATAAATAGAGTAATAAATAAAATAATGAACTAAAATTCTCAGCTCATAACTGGAAATTATTATTTTCCATGCTAATGTAAAATTAAATTTATTTTTACTCAAGTGGAATTATTTTTATAACAGAAGAGAGTGAAATTCGCTTTTCGTTAACAGGAGTATTCGTACTGTCATCATACATTAATACAACACGATTTTTTACTAAAACAACTAAAATAGTTTTGAGGTTAAATATTAAAGAATTAATCACAACAAAAAAATTATAAAATAATTGATACGCATTTAACATCTGTATTCACTTACAATGCTTTGTTCTTTTCTTTTACAGAGAAACGAATACATACCTTCTCGAGTATAATATATATATATATATATATATATATATATATATATATATATATATATATATGAGATTTATTTGTGTATCACCAACTGATTGTTGTTTCAAACATTTTCTAAAATATTGTAATGTTCAATGAGTAGAAAAATAAAGAAATATTTGAGTGGAAAATTAATAAAATTACGACTATAGTTATTTATTAGGCGACGCGTTTGGTGTTCTGGCAAAAACCGAAAATGGCAAAAGTATTGAAAATAAAATCTTCCACCATGGAACATATATTTTATTTTTAAATAATCCCTTCTCAGAAATACAGTGAAACATACTAAACTCGTCAAAATTAGTATATTATTTTCATCTCTTTTATGTTACAGCGTATAAATACAATAACTTTGTTTAAACCGTTTCTTGTAGGAGCGTCCTTAGATATCTAAATATTTTATTCCTTAAATTCAGGTAAACTCTTTTAAAAATTTAATTTCAATTACACTTTGCAGATTACTGTCTTGCTGCTCAAATCTAAAATTAGTATTTGAAAAAAAAGTTCTGTACGATTATTCGATTGGTTCAATTTCAGAGTAACTCACAAGCAAGACTCCGGAGTGTTGATCACTATGTTACTAGTACAATTTTTAAGGTTGGGGCGGTTCATGCAAAGGGCCACTTCATATCCAAGAGAAAATTGCGCCCCTTCGCGTTGTAATTTTAAGGCTCTTTCTTTATCTTCGATCTGCATCACGCACTTCCTTTCGCCGATTATTTAGAGCAATAACGCTCAAAGCGAGGTATATCTCGCGCTCATTTGAATTTGAATTAGCAGCTATGGAGCTGTATAAATGTCCAGTACAAGAATGACATTTCTAAAATACTTTCATTAAGTTACATCTATATACAACATTTAAACGAATCAATCAAGACTCTTGTATGACTAGGAATTAAATAAAATATACATGAACCCTGGTAATACGAAACTCGATTAAAAACCACAGTTATTATAGCAGAAATATTTAACAATTAACACTGTTTAAGACGTACATTTCTGCCAGTTCCAAATGATATGCTAGTTCTCTGATTTCAGATTAACAAAACCTATTTATTTTATATACACGAATTTGTAACACAGCTTTAATATAATTTTCTTACAATACTTTCACGACATGTCAAGGCTATTTCATCAGATTACCAAAGTTATAAATTTTAATTTTGTTTTTAATCTAAAAATAACACGTTCTTCGCCGTCGCATGGCAGCGTTCCACGGGTTCTTTTGTCTCCCGAACGTGTCCGCGTCGTAGTTCATTTCCACAGTCTCAATTTCTCTTGTTTCGCCGGCGCGAGCCCGAAATCTCCTTTAACACCGCGCTTAAACGCGGTCGCGCGTCCCCGCGCGGGGGGCTGCGGACGGCGGGCTGGGGTGGGGGTGGGGAAGGGGTACGGGGTGCACGCAACCGCAGCGCGCGCCCGCGGGAATCGATTGATGCGCAGGAACCGCGTCCCGCGGGACGCGCTCGCTCATACTTCCGGTTCCTGGCCGCACGACCTCCCCCCAACCCACCGCCGCGCGCGGGCGTCCCCAAGCCCAGTGAGCGGAACCTGAGACCGGGATTTCTCCGCCTGCTCGCGCACGGGAGGGACCACGGCCCTAGAACTCCCATATAACGTGATGGGGACCATTACAGTGGCGCGCTCTAGAACATCACCTTCTTACACGAACTGCAATACGAACTGCTACCAACGTTATTTAAAATATACGTGGACTCTCGGGAAGAAAACACACTCGCTTGATACAAAAGATCGCGCTACATTTTCTTTCATGCGTGTATTGTTATGAATAAATGAATTTTAGAAGGTAAACACTATTTAACTTCTTTTGTAATTTATTTTAGAAATCGCTCACAATCAAAGTGTATTCGTATTTCTTGACCAATTTCTATGTGCGAAAGTTGGCAGCCTTACCAGCAGCTGTATCTGGCGACACTAGCGCATCCTATAGTAGCAACCTCTAGCTTTGTCCCCAATTTTGATGGAGAGTTGCCGGGCCCTGGGCAGGACGTGGGGCGCTCTGCAGGCAACCGAATTACGGAAAGTCTGGAAATCAACGCCCTGTACTCCGTACAATGATCTGAACGTATACTCCGTATTGGGGGTCAATAAACTGAACGTATTTAAATGAAGAGTCCCTTCAAGGTTACGAGGGAGACGATGTCATCCAATGGGGAGCTTCATTTGACTTAAATTCTTGGTTTTGAAAATCGCGATTGGATGACAAAGTTCCCCTCTCCTTCCATCTTATGACCCTGATGGGACACTACATTTAAATCGGAGATTAATGTCATGCGACATTTTACTCGTACATTGTATGTTTCCCGTCGATACTTCAATTACATTTCTGCTGACTGACAACTTTGAAATTCGTCGCTTTAACTCCTATGGTCATTATCCCCGTGTGGATGTAATGAGTGTTTTATCTCGGGAGGTGACGTTGTTCCTCCCCTCCAGGTATCTCTACCAGAGGGGCAGCGCCCAAGTCGGGACGTATCATATTCAGAAAGTCGGGCTCTCGATCAGACTATCACTTCACATTTCATCCATTGTTGAGTGGAGGATGCTTTGGCATGACAGTCAAATTACTCTTACAGAGGAGTGATTGGGTTCTGCCTTCCATTCTACTGACTCCAGATCCGAACAGCCCGCAGGTCTGTTCCAGTCTAGACTTAGGCACATTTCGATGAGGGATGAGGAGGAAGCAATGTGTGTCAAACTAGAGGTTTCGGTTGGGAAAATCCTAAAGAAAATATACTTAATGGCACTGTAAGTAAAAGGGTCTAATATTTTAGTAAGAAAGCGGTTCTCACACATTTATTACCGAATGCACAGGTCCCCCAAGATAACCATCTCATGTGAAATTACTATGAAAGAAGAAAAAAGCTAATGGATGCATTAAGGTATGCACAGATAAGATAATCATCTGCTGGATCTCAATAGCGCCCTGTTATGCATTTCTAGACAGTGCCAGGGAATGGGTAAATGGTTGCACGTAAACTCGGGAAGCACCTGACCATTGTGTGTCAGGTCGCGCCGGAAAGCGTGGAAAGCCCACGTAGCCTACGGCGGAGAGGATTGCACGAGTCTGGGACGGAAAGGGACGCGAAGGGTTGTGGGTACGATAGGCATCGCTCCTCCCGTGCCGGAAAAATGTTCGTAATTAACATAACGAGGCTATACCATCTGTCTGCGGGACCCCAAGAAGGGCCACAGGACGCCTTTATCGCGCTCGCGCTACCTCCGAATCTGGCAGGGGGGGGGGGCGGAATCACGCTTGAAGCTCGGTGTGGGGGAAGGGCGGCGGCGACGAGGGAGGAGGGGGGGGCGGGGGGAGAGAAGCGATGGCGTGGGCGTTGAAGTTGGAGGAGCGATGTTTTTTTAACAATTCATTTATTTATAACTGACCTGCAGGGCCGAAGTGGCTACAGCGTGTGCCAAGTCAGCGCGTCGGTCGGAAGGGTTGCGGGTTCGAGTCCAGCCGTGGGCATGGTTATTTGTCCCTTGACTTTCATGCACGTGTGTTGTTGCGTAAGACCTTGAGTGAGCCCGCAAGATTGTCAGTGTCTATTCAAAAGGTTAATATGTGTCCCCATGAGGGACATGTGAGTACCCGACGCGGATAGTCGAAATAGGCATTCTCTGAAGTTGAAAAAGTCCCCCTCCCCGCCAAAAAATGACAGATTGTATATCGTTCAGCCTGTCGCCTATACGGAAGGTTGACGTATTACTCTATGCTTAAAAACTTTGCAAGAATAAATTTTGTTCTGTTTACTTTTCCAATAGAATATAAACTTATTAGCGCCTTCTGTTTTTTTTAAACATTTCTGACACCAAGGTTGTTAACCAACAAAGTTAGAACGCACTGCATTCTGGTGTTCAATAAATAACCTATCATTCGTATCCGATCTTTGACAAACATTCATAAGATTGTTGGTTCCGGATTCGTTCTCATGTGTGACACTGACATAAAAAGTAATAAATAAATTATTGAATAGTATTTATATAGTAAATAAAAAATTGAAAAATCAAATTTACCATAATGGTGGTCACAGTTCGAAACGTTCACTTCAGCAATATTTTGTCAAAACTCACCTGAAACAAAAGAAGGGGCACTTTTAGAAAGCTTTAACATTTAAAAAAATACTACAATGTAATAAAAATTAAACTATTTTCTACAGACATTTGGGTACACAAGTATTATACATCAAATAAAAGGAAATGCGTTATAAAATGTTTTTAACATAGTCGTAACCATTAAAATCTGTTCTTTAATATGGCGAAACCCACATTTTTCTATTACCTTTTGTTTTGTCTGTATGTTGATTTTCATGAAAGCTTGCGTGATATTCATCCTGCTTTTATAAATTGAAAGTAGAGAAAAAAGTGAAATAAATTAAATAAACAGGCTACATTAAAATTTAAGCAAAGTAAGAGAACTGAAACATTTTATCGCCAGTTATATATCAGACAGCATTTTCAATTTTTTTTTCTTTTTAGGAAAATGTATTACTTTTTATGTGGTAAGTATTACGTTTGTTTTAAAATCGAGTCTTGAATGTGAGATGCGTACTCGTGACGGTGCACGTGTTTCCGGCATCTGCGCTGTGTGGCGACTGGCAACCGGTGTTTGGGAGCTTTTCGTGATATTGTGCTTGACAGTTGAGTTATGAGAGCATAGTACCAAGTTTTGATAGTCGGGGTGTTATAATTATAAACCACCCTCTTCACTACAAAAGTGAATGAGACATTTGCTGTGAAAAGTCCAGAAAAGTTATTTGAACGTCCCCTGAAAAATCAATTTTCTTTCTATTTACATTCGTGGCAGTTTTTTATTGAATGTGAGATCACGTTAAGACAATTTCCCACATATGAAAATAATTTCGATATTTCCCGGACTCACGTGCGTGCATATAACTAAGCGAAATTCAGACATCTCTTTAATGATGTCTCGCGTGAACCTTAAACAAACACTACGAAGGGGCGTAACTAAACAGCTGACGCGGCGGAGGGATACGTCTCTGTAGTACACGTGATGTTCATATGTTTCGCGAACTGTCAGTTTATCCCATTCTTAAGAAAATCGTTCTATATTTTTCGATCTCCAATTTAGAGACAAATGCCTATTGATTTTAGGGGAGGCATCAACAACATTCGCGCTCGCAGAGCACTCTTACAGATCGCGAGCAAACTGGAGGAACTGGTGGAGCTCGTAAGCGCTGGCCCGTGCAGTGCCGTACATGAACGCGATGCAAATACGCGCATCTACCGGGAAATGGAAAGTACAAGGTACAAACTGTGAGACTGTACACAAAAGTACGCTTTACCTCTCTCTATACTCTCACAGGAAAACTTTAAAACAAAATTTACATAGAAAATATATACAAATTTATAACAAAATTTAATCTTCTCTACAAATTGAAAGGCATTAGCAACTTATAGATACCAGTACTATGAAGGTACTGGTAGGCGAAGGTACGAATATATTTATAGTATTTGTAAATAAAGATAAAGAAGGATTGGATTCTAAAGAATAAATCGAAAAAGACAAATAGAAGACCATCATTTCAACAATTTTCAAGTTCACGAAGAATCCGACCTGCGACACCAGTGCTACGTCTATACGGCGGCGAATCCACAACCAAAACAGATAAATCATGCACGTAATCTGTGACGCAGAAAGGACTTATCTGTAATGCAAGCGAAAACGGGAAGAAAGATGAGATGTGCTTGTTTTTTTTTCGCCCATTTTTTCATACGCTCCGTCGAGTGTAAAAAACTTTTTTTAAAAAAACATCCCATTCTTTTTCTCAAGTTCCCATTCAGGAGGAGTCATTTTCTTTATATTGCAGTCCTACACTTCCACCATTTATCCGAGAGCTAGTCTTCATTAGAGTTTTGTGAAAACACACAAATTCTTGATGCTAGAGAAAGTTGGGATTCTGGTTTCAAGGGATTTACAATCTTATTCTGCCGCTTTTGGACGTTTCGAATGAGTTTTTCAGAGCACTGAAGGGGCAATATTCAACAACCAAACGAGCTACTGGTAGCACTTTTACTCAAAATTATTTCCATCTTGATGAAACTTTGAATCAGTACTATCAGATGTGTTACGAATGTCGGATAATGAGGGTCACAGTCTTCAAGTTGTTTGCTGAATGATGGAATGCGAATCCAATAGGGATACTAGGGCTATCTATCATTACGTACTAAGCACTATTTAACAGTATGCAACTTTGTTTTTAAATCCAGGGATCTATTTTTTTTCGTGTTTTGACAGAGAAGCCAATTAAGTTCCTTTGTAGATCCGTACATATTATTTTGCGATGTTTTTGTAACATTGCATTTAACATAATGGCGCGCCTATTATTCGTGCCATTACAGGCGGTATTTTTTTGTTACTTACAAAATGTATACTTTTCAAGTCGAGAATTATTCTTCTTCTGTGAATTTGTCAAGTTTGCAAAAGTCAAAATATTGAAATATTTAGTTTGTTGTATTGATTTTAATCAAATTAAAATTCGTTAAACATATAATTGTTACCAACAGGTTTGCTGCTTCTATTATAATTATGATCTGCCTTCAGACTAGTACATGACGTAGAACCCTTCAAATTCATCACTTTCTCTTGAAATATGTATTCATGTTTTTGGTTTCGTTGTTAGATCAGATGTTGATAAACTTTCCTGATACATAAAGGTTATTTTCGTGTTTCGAATTATCATCTACTCGTGTCGAAAAAAATATTCTGCGACATGCGGAAATATGCGAAGTCAATCAGGTATAAGAATACTTGATTGAATAAAGGTATTTCACAAATATATATAACAAATATAATACAATAAACTCCGCCTTCATCAGTTTTATTTGGATAACAGCGCAGAATAATACTCATAACAATACATATAATTCAATCCTATAAAATATGCATCACTGCTTTGTCAATTTTTACAAGCTTACAAAATTGATGCGTCGAAAGGAATTAGGTTGACGTATTGCAACGGTCCCTTTCATAATTTCATATCAAGTTATCGAATACTATTTCATCCGTGTATGCTAACTCTGCATTCAACATACCTCGAGCGAAGAAATTAATGTGATAACAAAGTTTAAAAATCAAAATTGTTTGAAAGTGATTACATTTTCGTGAAACCAGTCTCGTGTTTGCGTGTAGCAGTTGGAAAAAACAAAGGGCATTATTTTTTCTTTCGTCTCTTTCGCTGTGACACGATAACAAGTTCCGAATTATCTATGCAATTCAAATCGCAGGTCGCGGAATTCTCGTTTGTTTTTGAATTGTGGGCCACGGGAGCGCCATCAGTTGAAGCGACTACGCCATCGGTGAGCATGCCCTGCCCTCTGATACTTCCCACAAGAGGAACTTTGTCTTTCTCCCCTGGACGAAGAGGAAGGAAACGTATGCAAATGTACAAACGCGCAATAAATTAAGCAGAAGTTGGCGAAGAAAGAACTCGCCGATAAGGTACCTTCCTTCTCTTTTCTAATTACCATTATCTCCGCCTTTCTTTAACCCGAAACGTCATTTTCTTGTTGACGAAGTCTCAACGAGAAGTTACGGAGGCCTTTCTACTTTATCTTCCTACCTCTCCCCCGAACCTCTACGTCTCCCCCGCGCTGCTAATATTCTCAAGACAAACGTACACAATGAAACAGAAGGTAAATACCGCCAAAACTTTCTTCATTTCGGCCTCAAATCCGCCTGGCGGTTTACGAGACCGCAGCTTAAAACCTCAAAGCGACGAGGGGCGGCGCTGGGACCCGGGTGGTTGTGGTGGCGGTGGCGGCGAGGCAGGCTGAAGCCGCGGTGGCGGCTGCCTAAGGGTGGTTGGGTGACGTCGAGGGGAAGATGGTGCAACGGAGAGCCAGGTCGGGTGTCGGTCATGAGTATCGCTTCACGTGAGGTGCTGACGGGTTGGGGTGATGAAATGCCAGCGGTAGCGGCGGGCAGCTAATAATCTTGCGCTCTTGTGAAGAAAGAGTAATAACCATAGTCCAGAAAAATATGAAGTATGAAAAGCCAAAATATGTACTTAATTACGTAAAGAAAACAGAATATGTAATATAGAATATAATACGCAAAATTAAAATACACTAAATATAAAGCATATTTACATAATTCGGAATTACATGCATAAAATATTTCAGTAATAAAAGCTTCATCTATTTCCATTCAGGATCATAGTTTAGCAGGCACACTAGACGCAATAGAAGCCATCGTACAAACTGGAGGTATCAACGACCAGTAATCACTGCAGCGTGCAGTATTCTCATCGAAGCATGACACGACGGCGATCGCCAATGTTTCTCGAAAATTAAAATTACAGGTAACGAAAATAGGTGTCAATGATACTTTTCACAACTAAAGGTGAAAATGATCCCAGTTGCTGACGCGCACTTCCCGCCACTGAGATAATTGAAGCACACCGGACTGAGAATATCCGACCACGTCTTCTCGTAAAGCAAGCGTAGCGTCAACTGCTAAGGACTTCAGTGACGTAAGTATGTTTTTATTTCCTGAGGTGGCGGTGATATTGCTCCGTAGAAGGGCAAAATCCTGCGTCGACCCACCGTAGGCTAGATGGGTTTTCCCAAACATATTTCCCATCAGCTGCTGCCACCGCAGACAGAACAAGTTGTAAACTGTCGAGCGGTTTCCGGCATGTGTGGAAGTGGAGTCAATGTTAGTGTAAGTAAGACGGGATAGGAAAAGGAAGAGGAAGGAATGATCGCGCGCAGTCCGTGGCCCGTTAGTAACGGTACTACTCCGGCATTCACCTGGTATCGATCGAAGAAACCACGGTAAACCACCGATCGGACCAGCTGGCCGCGAGAATTCTCCTCCACACAGAATTGGACCTATCTGACAAGTCGAAAATCCTACCACCGACGGGATTCGAACCTAGGACCTGCCGGTCAGAGGGACTGCACTGGCATCAGTTGATGCCCTGAGCCATCTCAGCACCAATCCGAGCAACCGGTTGCTTGAATTTTACTCCACACGGCGGCTGCCTAGTTCGAAAATGTGCCACCGTCGATACCCGAACCAAGGACCTCCCGGTCAGAGACACTGCTTT